TACTGTAAGCCCTGCGCCCAAGACCCGGCCTTCGTCCCGCTCCCGCCGGGAGCCAGGCCCCCTCCCCACGTTCCAGGTCCTGCCTCGCCTTCACCAGCATCACCCTGCGCTCCCACCGCCACTGCTCACCCTGTCTCCACCTCTAGCTTCATCCTATTTTTCAAAAATTTGTGCGGCCCTAGCCGGTTTGGCTCAGTGGGTAGAGCGTCAGCCTGCGGACTGAAGTGGACTGAAGGGTCCCAGGTTCGATTCCGGTCAAGGGCACATGCCCGGGTTGTGGGCTGGATCCCCAGTAGGGGGCGTGCAGGAGGCAGCCGATCAGTGATTCTCTCTCATCATTGATGTTTCTCTCTCTCCCTCTCTCTTCCTCTCTGAAATCAATAAAATATATATATATATTTTAAATTTGTCTCGGGCCCCCTTCCTGGGAGTCAAGAGCTCTTTGACGGTTTCCTCCCATTTGGGGGCCCTCCCCACTCCTAACACCCAGCGACTTTGGGGAATGGGACCTTCACTTGGTTGATTTGGGGGGCGGGGGGTCCTGCGGGACAGCCTACCGATCTGACGCTCTCTTATCCATGCTTCTCTCTTCTCCCTTTCTCTAAAAATCAATAAACTATTCTTCAGTAAAAAGAAAAGCAATGACTCTCACTCATTAATAGACTGTCATCTTCACTTTAAGGCACAGATTACATAGACTTTTGTTGTTTTTTAAAGTAAGTGGTAGATGGTAAACTCTTTCCAGCCATTTCTAATCATAGAACATTGTAAAATTAAGACGTGTATCTCCTCTATGCTCAATATCTCTTTTGAGGCCTTTCCCCAGGAGATAACCAATGAGTTTCTGTAGAACAAAGATTTTTCATGGTCATTCTCCCTGTCTTGACTAAGAACTGTAAAGTTTGTAGCAATTAATAGGCTTAATTTTGTCCAGTGGATGGACAAGCATTATGCAGAAAAGGAATATGTGAGCATGGCATTTCCGCTGGTTCCTGGGAAAATCTCACAAATTGCATGAGACAGATGGCTTCTAAAGTAGTGACCCAGCAAAAGTGGTAGGCCAGTCTGTATGTTAAAAATTAGTGTTAATAAAGCTTAAGTAATTGTTTTTACTATAGTTAAATACAATTGTAAATGCATTCTTAAATACTTTCCTCATGAACATGAGTGCATTGCTTTGCACACTCCACTTGGAAGCCTATGGGGATGGGGTGGCTTTAGCAGGATAGAGCTCCCTGAAGTTAGCTGGCTCTGTAAGCAAATTGCAAATCTCAAGTTAAGGGGGAAAGGAGATGATATTGTGCCCAACGCAGACTACGTTGTAGGAATTTCGGAGCAGCTATTGGTTAATGGAAAGAGCACTAGACAAGGAGTCCAAACGACTGAGTGAATTTGTTTTGGGCTGCATGCTTTCCTAGCTTTGTTACCTAAGGATTAATTAAGATCAAGCCTGGCCTCTGTAAACTATAGTGCTGGGCAGGAAAACCAGGATAAATGTTAAGAAGTGATTTCTGAATTGACATAGTCCTTTCAACTTTTTTCCACAGAATTCTTCATAAATGAATCCTTTTCTCTGCCCAACATCCTGTGGTAGGACATTAGTCCTTATGGTCATGAGTTGTTACGGTAAGTTCATTCACACTCGGAAACAATGGCAAAGAAGAATTTTAGGTGATTTGCATGAAATCCATTAATTGATAGAATTCATACCTCCTCATTTTTAAGTGTGAGAAGCAAAAGAAAAAACAGGTATGGTCAACTTTTATTTGCTGAGACAGATCTAGAAGCTGAATATTTAACCGAATAGCTGAGGGACAGCAGTGGAGTACTGGAATGGTTCACATTGTGAATTCTAGAGAAGCAGCTTCGCATTCATGGGTAAATATCTCCAGCCCCAAACACATGTATTTTATAGAAAAACGGACTTCAGGTTGCTGTTATTTGGTCATTCTCCTTCTGGCATGCAGTTAGGGGATAGGCCTAGCAAAGTCACCACAGCACGAATAGTGCCCCTGTTTCTTGGAGAACCTTCACCTTCTTTAACTTTTATCAACTGGAAAAATGATGTGGAAAAGCTTGCTTAATTATCGTTTAGTTCTAAGGCTGAGAACGCTTTGTGGTTTATTTTTTAGCTGATTTAGATTTCTCCAGAATGCTTCTAGGTAGCTGTAATAACGATATTAAGCCTGTGTTACAGACATTATTTTATTGTCACTCAGAATATTCTATTCATTCAACCTGTTGGGTTCCCAATAAAATTTTAATATGAAGTACAGGCATATTTTGTTTTATTGCACCCCGATTTATTGTGTTTCACAGATACTGCATTTTTTTTATATATATTTTATTGATTTTTTACAGAGAGGAAGGGAGAGGGATAGAGAGTTAGAAACATCGATGAGAGAGAAACATCAATTAGCTGCCTCCTGCACACTCCCCACTGGGGATGTGCCCGCAACCAAGGTACATGCCCTTGACCGGAATCGAACCTGGGACCTTTCAGTCCGCAGGCTGACGCTCTATCCACTGAGCCAAACCGGTTAGGGCGCATTTTTAAATATATTTTTATTTATTTCAGAGAGGAAGGGAGAGAGAGGTAAAAATATCAATGATGACAAAGAATCATTGATCGGCCACCTCCTGCACGCCCCCTATGAGGGATCGAGCCCGCAACCCAGGCATGTGTCCTTGACCAGAATCAAACCCGTGACTCTTCAGGCACAGGCTGACACTCTATCCATTGAGCCAAACTGGTGAGGGCTAATTTTTTAAATGATTTTTTATCTAAATTTATTGGGTTGACATTGATTAATAGGATCATATGGATTTCTATGTTACAAGATTTGTATATTGCACTGTGTGCCCACCACCCAAGTTAAATCATTTTCCATCACCATACATTAGGCCCCATCATCCCCAACCCTCTACCCCAGGGGTTCTCAACCTGTGGGTCACGACCCCTTTGACCGTCGAACGACCCTTTCACAGGGGTCGCCTAAGACCATCCTGCATATCAGATATTTACATTACGATTCATAACAGTAGCAACATTACAGTTATGAAGTAGCAACGAAAATAATTTTATGGTTGGGTCACAACATGAGGAACTGTATTTAAAGGGCCAGAAGGTTGAGGACCACTGCTCTACCCTCTTCCCTTTGGCAACCACCACCCTGCTGTTTGTGTCCATGAGTTTCAGTTTTATATCCCACATATGATTCTTAGATTTTTCTGCCTGACTTATTTCACTTAGCTATTATTCTCAAGGTCCATCCATATTGTCACGAATGGCAGTATTTCATCTTTTCTTATGGCTGAGTAGTATTCCATTGTTTATATGTACCATACACACACACACACACATATATATATTTTATTTCAGAGAGGAAGGGAGAGGAAGAGAGCAATAGAAACATCAATGATGAAATAGAATCATTGATCGGCTGCCTCCTACACACCACCCATTGGGGATCTAGCCCATAACCTGAGCCTGTGCCTTTGACCAGAATCAAACCCAGGATCCTTCAGTCCACAGGCCAACACTCTATCCACTGAGCCAAACCAGCTAGGGCTATGTACCACATCTTAATCCAATCCTCTATTGAAGGTCACCTCTGTTGTCTCCATGTCTTGGCCACTGTGAACAATGCTGAAATGAACATAGGGACGCATATATGTTTGCAAATACATGTTTTTTAGTTTTTCAGTATATACCTAGAAGAGGGATTGCTGGGTCATATGGTAACTCTATTCTTAATTTTTTTAGGAACCTCCAGACCATTTTTCATAATGGATGTCCCAATCTACATTCCCACCAGCAGTGAATGAGGGTTCCCTTTTCTCCACAATCTCTCCGACACCGGTTATTACTTGTCTTGTTGATAATAGCTATTCTAACAGGTGAGAGGTGGTTTCTCATTATAGTTTTTATTTGCATTTCCCTAATTGCTAGTGAGGTTGGAAATCCTTTCATATATCTGTCGGCTGTTAGCATGTCTTCTTGGGAGAGGTGTCTGTTCAAATCCTCTGCCCTTTTTTCAATTGGACTGTTTGTTTGATGTTGAGTTTTATGAGTTCTTTGGATATTTTGGATATTAAACCTTTGTCTGAGCTATTGTTTGCAAACATCATCTCCCATTTGGTCGGCTGCCTCTTTGTTTTGTTATTGGTTTCTTTTGCTGTGCAGAAGCTTTTTAGTTTGATATAGTCCCATTCATTTATTTTTGCCTTTACTTTCCTCGCCTTTGGGGTCAAGTTCATAAAATGTCCTCTATGACCAAGGTCCATCAGTTTAGTACCTATGCTTTCTTCTGTGTAATTTATTGTTTCAGATCTTATATTTAGGTCTTTGATCCATTTTGAGTTAATTTTTGTACATGGGGACAAATCCAGTTTCATTCTTTTGCATGTGGCTTTCCAATTTTCCCAGCACCATTTATTGAAGAGCCTTTCTTTACTCCATTGTGTGTTTCTGGTTCCTTTGTTGAAAATAATCTGCCCAGCCCTAACTGGTTTGGCTCAGTGGCTAGAGCGTCAGCCTGCAGACTGAAAGGTCCCAGGTTCGATTCCGGTCACGGGCATGTACCTTGGTTGCGGGCACATCCCCAGTAGGGGGTGTGCAGGAGGCAGCTGATCGATGTTTCTCTCTCATTGATGTTTCTAGCTCTCTATCCCTCTCCCTTCCTCTCTGTAAATAATCAATGAAATATATATTTTTAAAAAAAAGAAAATAATCTGCCCATATACATATGTTTTTATATCTGGGCTCTTAGTTCTGTTCCAATGTATGTCTGTTTTTCTGCCAATCCCATGCTGTTTTTTGTTTCTTTGTTTTTTAATATGCTTTTATTGCTTTTAGAGAGAAAGGGAGAAGGATAGAGAGATAGAAACATCGAAATATATAAAGCAACTACTAACAGAATTAGAGGGAGAAATAGGCTAAAACACAATCATTGACGTTCAACCATTGGGCCATACCAGCCGGACAGTACCATGCTGTTCCCTGATTAGGTGCATATATATTAAGAAGTGTTATGTCTTCTTAATGTAGTATCACTTTTATCATTATAAAATGTTCATTTTTGTCTCTTGTTACCTTTTTTATCTTGAATTCTATTTCGTCAGGTATAAGTATGGCTACGCCTGCTTTTCTGTGGGTGCTATTTGCTTGGAGACTCATTTTCCACCCTTTCACTTTGAACCTATCTTTGTCTTTGCAGCTTAGATGTGTCTCCTGGAGGCAGCATATGGTTAGATTTTGTTTTTTGAACCACTCTGCTATTCTGTGCCTCGTTATTGGTGAATTCAGGCAAACTTACATTTAGTGTAATTATTGATGTTCGAGGGTTTCCTATAGCCATTTTATCTTTTGTTTTCTGATAGCTCTGTGCATCCATTGGTTCTTTTCCTTTGTGTTTCTGTCTGTTGTTTTTGTTTTGTGGTATTTCATACTTTCCCCTTTGTTTCCCCATTTTTAAAGCTATGTTTCTTAATTTGGGTTTTTTTTGGTGTGGCTACTTTTAGGTTTTTGAAAATTAAAGTTGCATATATACAGTAGTATTTTTTTCTTTTGAGTACATCTGGTCTCCATCCTCATTTCCCAGTTCAGGCATTTATCCCCTCCCCTTTTGTGTTTTTGTCATCACAAATCATCCCTGTTTATGCTGTCTGTTTTTGGTGATCTTACTCGTAGTGTTGTGACCTTATGCTCTTTCGGGTAGAATAACTCCCTTGAGTATTTCCTGCGTGGAGGTTTTCTGTTGATAAAAATCACTCAGCTTTTGTATCTATGGGAAAGTCTTTTTATCTCCTTCATAGTTAAAGAATAACGTTGCTGGGTATATTATTCTTGGCTGGTAATTTCTCTCTTTCAGTCATTTGAATATTTGCTTCCACTCTCTTCTGGCTTGTGTAGAGTTTCTGCCAAGAAGTAGGTTGACATTCTGATGGGTTTTCCTTTGTAGGTCACTTCCTTCTTTTCCTTGGCTGCGTTGAGAATTTTTTCTTTGTCATTAATTTTTGACAGTTTTAATACAGTGAGCTTTGGAGAGGGCCTCTTTGGCTTGAGGCATCTGGGTGTTCGGTTTGCTTCTTGGAATTGAGGATCTAGTTCTTTTCATGGGTTTGAGAAGTTCTCACCCACTATTTGTTTGAATAGGCTCTCCATGCCTTTCTCCCTCCCTTCTTCTGCTGGTATGCCTATAATTCTTATATTGCTTTTCCTGATGAAGTCAGATAGTTCTCATAGAGCTCTTTTTTTTTTTTTAATGTTCTGGTCTCTCTCTTCTTCCCTATGTGTCTTTTCTAGATTCCTATCTTTGATGTCACTAATCCTTTCCTCCATCCGGTCGGCTCTGTTACCTATACTCAGTAGTTTGCTCCTAATCTCCTTAATTGCATGCTTCCTTTCCAGGATTTCTGATTGGTTCTTTTAAAAAGTCTCAATCTCTTTGTTAAAGTACTCACTTTGTTCATTAATTTGTTTTCTGAGTACATTGACCTGCCTGTCTATATTTTCTCACATCTCATTGAGTATTTTCAGAACTGCAATCTTGAACTCTCTGTCATGTATATATCACATATTTCCATGTGCCCCAGCTTGCTTTCTGGAGATTTTTCATTTTCTTTCTGAGTTTCCTCATTATCGTGGATATTCATGGTATTTGCTGGTCTCCTTTGTCTCGGCATCTGTTTTATTACTGACCTTTCTCCAGCTTTCTGTGAAAAGGTCTTTCTACTATTTTCCAGTAGGTGGCACTGAACCACAAGATTTTTACTCTGTGACCTCCCAAAGCTGCCCTCCTCAGCTTCTGTCAGACAGTACAGCTGCTTTGGGATGGGATTTGTTTTGCCCTCACCATAATGGCGACACCAGAACCTCCAGGGGGTACTCCCAGTGTGCCCCACCTGGGCATCAACCACGGAGGGAAAGCAGTGATTCTACTGCAATAGTTCTTTGTTTCCATATGATGTACTCCTTGACCCAACACCAAAGGCAACTGGAAGAGAGTCTCAGTGGGCTCTCCAAGGGGTGGCAGGGCTCTGTGGCTCTGTGGCTCCATTTCTTTGTCTGAAACACGACTGCCCAACAGTGGACAGCCATGGCAGAACCCCTGTTCTGTGTTCAGCAGCTGTTGGCACCATTCCCAATGCTGGAGAGCCCACTGCAACTCTCTGTTTCTCCCAGCCCACCGAGGCGCCTGCTGCCACCGGCTTCCTCTCTTTTCCAGGGCTGCATCCGTGGCCATCTGGGCCCTCCTCCCGTCTTACCTCCCCATTTATTCCCAGTTGCCCACTTTTGGATGCTTCAATGTGCGGATCTCTCAGGTGTGCTTCTCTATGGAGCAGGAGATCCTTGTTGAGTTATAGTTGATTAACTTGTTGATGTTTCAGGGGGAGAAGCCAAGGAGATCTCTGATGCTGCCATTCTTCTCAATACTGCATTTTTTATTTTAATTTTTTTTTACAAATTCAGGGCAAAATCCTCCACCAGCAAAAAGATCATGACGTGCTAAAGGCTCAGATGATGGTTACCATTTTTAAGCCATAAAATATTTTTAAATTAAGGTATGTACATGGCCTTTTAATTTTCTTAATTTAGTTTTTAAATCCTCACGCAAGGCTATTCGCTCCATCCACTTCTAGAAAGAGTGGAGCCACATTGATTGGTTGCCTCCCACATGTGCCACCGGGGCTAGGAAACCTGCAACTGAGGTACGTGCTCCTGACCAGGAATGAAACCTGCAACCTTTGGTCCAGTTCACAGGCTGATACTCTAACCACTGAGCAAAAACAGCCAGGGGTGTACATTGCTTTTTTAGACATAATGCTGTATTGCACACGTAGACTACAGTATAGTATAAACATAAATTTGTATGTGCACTGGGAAACCAAAAAAATAATGTGACTCACTTTATTGTTATACAGAAGACCCGGTGCACGAAATTTGTGCACTGGAGCAGAGGGGGTCCCTCAGCCCAGCTTGTGTCCTCTCACAGTCCGGGGCTCTCACAGTCCGGGACCCCTCGCTCCTTACCACCTGTCTGCAGCGGAGGTAGGAGAGAGGCTCCCACCACCGCCGCTGTGCTCGCCAACTGTGAGCCCGGCTTCTGGCTGAGCCCAGCTTCCTGCATTGAGCATCTTGCCCCTGGTGGTTAGTGCGCATCATAGCGACCAGTCATTCGACTGGTCTATTTGCATATTAGGGTTTTATTATATAGGATTCACTTTAGTGCAATGTTCTGGAATTGAACCTGTTATGCCTGTATAATACCCAAAACATACATATATAGTGCTTCCTATGTAAATACTGTTCTAAACAAACCGAGTATTAATCATTAGCTAATCTCAGCAACCTTTTGAGGTAGTTATTTTATTTTATTTTTTTAATTTTTTAAAATATATATTTTATTGAATTTTTTACAGAGAGGAAGGGAAAGGATAGAGAGTTAGAAGCATCGATGAGAGAGAAACATCGATCAGCTGCCTCCTGCACACCCTCCACTGGGGATGCGCCCACAACCAAGGTACATGCCCTTGACCGGGATCGAACCCGGGACCCTTCAGTCTGCAGGCCGACGCTCTCTCCGCTGAGCCAAACCGGTCAGGGCGAGGTAGTTATTATTAGCCCCATTTTCAGATGGGAAACAGAGGCCCAGAGGTCCAGTAACTTGCTTAGGGTCACAGAGCTGGCAATCCAGGCAGTCTGGCCTCAGAGTCTGTGCTTAGCTGTCAACAATACTGCCTCTATGTCACAGGTGCTATGTCAGGTGCTGGGGGGAAAGACAGAACCAAAGAACAATGCACAGGCAGAAACTTCTCAGGAAGATGAAGAGGTACAGGGCTTACGGAGGAGAAACGGGCCAGTGGGACGGAAGGAGAAGTCAGTGGTTTAACTCTTCAGCCCTCCAGAGAGTTATTTTTCCCATGGTGCAGTCACCAGCAAATCTTACTGCAGTGCTCTCAATTCTTTGTCTCCCCTCTCAGTGTCCCTGAGATATTACCCCCAGAAATTGGCCCCCTCGTGACTTCTGAGGATCTCAAGGCACTTCCTGGAGAAGGGGCCTCCCACCTTAACTCCCACTGAGCGGAGGTCTGTATTGTCTGAGAGGTCACCTCCCAGGTATGCACTTGAGTCTCCCAAGCTTGTTACCTTCCTGTCTGTGGTTACCTTAGAAACCAGTTCTCTCCCATCAACACCCTGAGCATCTGACAAGAATTGAATAACAGGGAAGGTGCCAAGATAAATAAGGAAAATGTGTGAAAGAAAACCAGTTTTAGATCGAAGGCTAATATTTTGGGAAGTTGGGTGTGTATGTGTATTATTTTTTCCCCTACAGATAAGAAAGAGTTCCCAGGGTTAAATGTGAGATACCAAAAAGGTGAAATGTCAAAGGGATGATTAAAAAAATAATAAAACTGCTGGAAGCCTGCTTTAAAAACTGAAAAAAGTCCTTTAAAATTAAAAAAATATACATATTGACATACAATAAATTACACATAGTTAATATGTACAACTTGATAAGTTTTGACACTTATACACACATGAAACAATCATCACAATCAAGATAAAGAATTTATTTAGTACTTTAAAACTTAATTTTGCTCCTTTCTAATTCTTCCCTCTCGCTCCTTCTCCCTGGGCAATCATTGATCCGCCTTTTGTTCCTATAGCTTAGTTTGCCTATTTTAGAATTTTATATAAATGAAATAAAGTATGTATTCTTTCTTGTATAACTTTCACTTCGATTCATCCATGTTGTTGACTATATCAATTTATTGCTGAATGGTATTTTTAAATTTTCAATTTCTAATTGCTTGTATGACATAGAAATACAATTATTTTTATATATTGATTCTGTGTCCTGTAGTTTTGCTAATCCCACTTATTAGTTCAGTAGGTATTTTGTAGATTTCATCAGATTTTTTTATATGGATGATCATGTCTGAGAAAAAGACAATTTTTTCCTTCCCTTCCAATATGTATTTCCTTTTCCTGTCTTATTGTGATAGCTAGAACTCCAGGGCAATGTTGCCAACAAGAGCAAATATCCATGTCTTCTTTCTGATCTTAGGAGGAAAGTATATGCTATTTTCAGCATTAAATATGACGTCCTATGCAGATTACTTATAGATGCTTTTCTATCAGGTTGTGGAAATTCCCTTGTATTCCTAGTATCCTGAAAGGCTTTGTTGTTGTTATTAGTTAAAATGTTTGTATTTTATCAGTTCTTTCTCTGGATTGATTGAGATGATCGTATGATTTTTCTTCTCTAGTCTGTTGATAGTGTAGATGTTCATTGTTGAAGTAGCCTTGTATTTCTGGGATAAATGCCACTTTTGCTTTTATTGTGTTTGTTGTTGGGAATTGATTAGGCTTGGTAATGAATGCATGTAGAAAGCTGTTGTCCCAGGAACTGAAAGGTATGACCAGACCTACGCAGACTCCAGGAGACCCACCAGCAATTTGACCTTTGTGGCCCAGGAGAACCATAAGCAATCAAGATGGTATCTGAGCCATTGTGCTCTAGGGAGAGAACAGCCACTGCCTGGGACACAGATAAAGACTCCAGGTCAGCAAATGAAGGGATGTTAAGAAAATCGCTTTTATCTGATTAACCTTTTCCCTAAATTTCAAACCCCTTTTTCCGGAATCCCAACCCCTTTACCTACACTTTTCTTCTCCTTATAAAAAAGATCAGCTTGAGATGAGATGTAAGACAGTCTTTAGGGTACACAGCCCACCATCTTCTCAGATCACCAGCCATCCGAATAAAGCGCCCATAAAGATTCAATTCTTGTCTCTCCTATTGGCCTGTTAGTGACAGGCAGCATGAATGCTGACTTTTCTGGTTTCAGTTCCACAAGGACGTATGACCATTTGAACAAAGTTTTTAAAACTTTTGATATGTTTGACAAACTTCCCAAGATTCAAAATTAGTCGTTTTCTTGATCTTTGAGGTTTTTAAGAACTTTGTAATTTCTCAGAAGGATCCTTTAAAACACCTCAAAGATTTGTTCTTCTTCTTTATAAAAGGCCTATATCGCATTTTAAACACATTATACTTTTTATTTTCATTGATTTCAGAGGGGAAGGGAGAGGGAGATAGAAACATCAATAATGGGAGAGAGTCATTTGATCAGCTGCCTCCTGCACATCCCCTGCTGGGAATCAAACCGGAAACCCTGGCATGTGCCATGACCTCCTGGTTCATAGGCTGATGTTCAACCACTGAACCACACTGGCCAGGCCTATATGGTATTTTAAATTACACAGGAAGCATTGTCAAATAAATCGTGCTAAAAAACTTACAGTCTTTCTTTGTCTCTAAAAGTTGTAACTCTTATCATGTCTTTGAAATGTAAACACACAGGAACTAAAACATTGTCTACAAAAACTGAAGGAAAAAGAAGAGGTCTTTTAAAAATGCAGACTGCTGTAGAAGTTCCCTTGCCAAAATTGATTTGTAAAAGAGCTATGGTTTTTTACAAAACTACAAGAAAATAATCAGGACAAGACAAAATGACCGTATATGGAAAATAGAATATATGTTTTCAGTAGAGGAAGGTAGATTAAAAAGCACACACTTCCTCCTCTCCTCTCCTCTTCTCTTCTCTTCTCTTCTCTTCTCTTCTCTTCTCTTCTCTTCTCTTCTCTTCTCTTCTCTTCTCTTCTCTTCTCTTCTCTTCTCTTCTCTTCTCTTCTCTTCTCTTCTCTTCTCTTCTCTTCTCTTCTCTTCTCTTCTCTTCTCTTCTCTTCTCTTCTCTTCTCTTCTCTTCTCTTCTCTTCTCTTCTCTTCTCTTCTCTTCTCTTCTCTTCTCTTCTCTTCTCTTCTCTTCTCTTCTCTTCTCTTCTCTTCTCTTCTCTTCTCTAAGGATCAGGTGCTTCTTCAAAACTAACCAATCAAAGCCCCAAGCTTTCCTGGGCTGGCACTGGTTCTTTGGCCCTACATGGGGGCGGGAGGGGTGTTAATCACCTTTTTTGGGCCATTCTGCGATCTCCTGGGGAGTGTGTGAAGCTGTAGTTTCCTAGTAGATGAGGCTTCTTAATGTCTGGTTCCATTCGCTCCCTTCCTTTATTAATATTTAGTTACCTATGCTAACACCTATATTTTCAAATGATTTCAGTGTCTGTCTTTGCCACTGTGTGATGAGTTGGCACCAAGTAGTGCTGCTTTCATTGTCTCAGCTAATGGGAAGAAAACAAAAGGAGGACTTCATATGTAAATGATGTGTTTGTGCCCTAGAGGAGGCCAAATGTCCTCCCAGCATGATGAGTGAACACAGGGTTAGCAGAAGTTCTAAGAGAGAAAAGCAGTGGGAGAAGTGAGTCATCACACGCCCTCGACCAACTCCAGGGACCCCCGCTGGAGGGATTCATTCTACTATCACAGTTTGTGCAGCAATTGGTTTCAGCAATCATCTGTTGCAATAAATGAACATATTTTATTTTTTAAATGTATTGATTTTATAGTTTTGTTTTTATTCAATTGGTAAATTGACATT